TAGCCAACTGCGTTGTTTCGCACCACATTGGCGTCGCGATCCGACATGTGCTACGCCGATCGGTGGGCCGTGGGCGCACGCCCCCCGGACGCTCGCGTGCCCTTGGGGCGGCAGGGCGGCGGCTCCCCGTCTTAAAAAAAAATAACGGGCATTTCTTCGACGTACAGTGTAACACAAAACATGAACTAAGCTTTGGAAATTACTTTTAAAATAGCGGGAAATCAATTTACCCCCCTATTTTGGAGACTGTTTTTGTGTGACGTCACATATTTAGGCAACTCGCTACAAATTGTCATGGTTCAATCATATAATTAATAATATTTAAGAAATTTTCATACAAATCTATTTTCGTACGCTAGTTGCGTATTAGGTACCTACTAAGGGAGATCTCGAATACGTAAATATACGATTTTTAAATGTTCACTATTTTTCGCGCCCTTCGAATTCGCATTATAGTCGCTGGCAGCTAACTCCTCAAGCCTCCAGCCTTTACCAGTGTTCTATATGGTGCGTGACCTTGAAATTATGCCACGATATTTACATTCGAGCTTAACCAGTCGAGCACGGAGGCTTGTTGGCACCTTCCTTTTCTTTTTAACAACCGAATATTTCAATATAGCCCTTCTTCTCTACCACCTCGGCGATCGCAGTTGTATGTTGCAATGTTGCATTAGTTGCATTTCCCATTTCATAATGAAAACATTGGTCATCTGTGAGTACGCGCGTTTTTGTTTTTAACTGGTATTTATGTGAAGTTTTTCTTAAGAATTTTTGTGACACGATCTTAATTAATTAGTAAAACAATCATTTACATTTTACTCTGGTAGGTACGTACTTAACTTATTAAAATAAAATGAGTGTGGAAAACGAACATAACCTCAACAACTTCTTTAGTTGCATGGACATTGTAGATTATTTGTTATTATTTATTAAAAACATACGATTCAAAATTGCGAAATTTCTTAGATAATCACACTGTATTTTCGGGAACCTATAAAACCATTCAAAACGATTTAATTGAGAGTATTAGTTCAATTATCAAAAGTAAAATTTATGACGAATTAAACAATTGCGAATTTTTCTCCTGGCAAGTTGATGAAGCCACAGATGTTACCTTAAGTCTCAATTATCGGTAATTTTTAGATAGATAGATGGTGCCTGGAGAAGTTGTTGAAAGATTTGTTGGATTTTGTGACATAACCAGTGCGAGAGATGCAGATAGTTTGTTTAAATTATTAATTAACGAACTTGAAAAATTTGACTTAAAAAATAAATTAATTGCTCATGTTTAATGCACGTATTTGTCACAACTGAAGGAAAATTTTATTTTATGACGAAGTTATTGATCATTTTGCTGGATCAGAAAATCGCAGATTGCCATTGATATATGAATATATTTAATTTGTGATATGTAATTTATTTGCCAAAAACGTTTTTATTTTTAATACATATCTATATATTTATTTATAGGTATACTTATACATATATAAGTAACACATACACATACATTGATATAATTTTAATTTATTAATTACTATAGAAGTCAATATTGTTCTATAAATTTAAATATATAAATTCTATAATACTTTTAGTTTGTCGCTTGGGGTTTGAAAGTTTTTAAATATTTCTAATTTTGCCAGAATATCGCGATATTTAAGGTCATGACAAAGAAGACATTTTTTTGGCACTACGTCCCAAGTACATAAGGTCGAAAATCGATCTAGTAAAAAAAATCCTTCATGACAATGTGTACTATTGCCTATTATTTGGCGTATGTGACATCACTACTAAAAAGGTCTATTATTCAATAAGGAGTTGAGATTAGTTTGCAACACTTCACTTAAATCATTAATAAATAATATGAACAGAAGAGAGTCCAAAGCAGATCCTTGCGGAACTCCAACTGTATAAACGGATAAGGACAAAACAAAACAATAGCAAACAAAACATAATGTTGAGAACTACTAAGAATACAACGAACAAATTATCATTAAGGCACTTAATAAGAGGGTAATCACAGATAATTTTATTATTTTAACTTCTGAATAATATAGAACTATAGGTAGACATATTGAGAACTCTTTGGATAAACCGGTTCGTTTTCATGAAGTTACCAAAACCAAATACGTTGTCAATAAATAACGATTATTCTGTGGTACTAATACGGAGACTTAAAGGATGATGAGGAAGGGTAAACCAAGCAAAATATTTACAAATGGGAGGGTTATCGAAGGGATTTTCAAGGAATTTGGGGTATTTAATCAATGGAATTAATTTTAGATTATTATTGATCAGTCTGAGCATAAAGGAGGACTAAGTGGCCAATGTTTGTACACACACCGATATTTAAACACGAATAAGGAAAACAAGCGGTATCAATACGGAGTTTTTTCAACTTTATCTTAATTCGAGTTATAACTTATAAATAAAACGATAATACATGCAACTGTTGCCATCAACTGCGTTTTAATGTATGAATTAACTCCAGCCAGACAGTTTCATGGAAGCAAGTGTCTTTTATTGTTTAAGGGAAGTCATTTACATATTTTTTTTATATTCTTACATTTAACTGTATGTTTTTTTGTAAGACAGATTGTCTGGTGTACGTTAATAAGTGCGAATAAAATATGTGGATAAACATACCAATCCTGTGAGTTAACTGCAATGTACAGCAATTTGTGTAAACACTTGCAAACAGTCAGCCTAGCTATCGATAAAGTCAGTGGTTCCAAAAATGTTTTTTTCATATTATTGTGGTATGTCAGCAGGTATTAAAAAAATATTCCTACGAATCGAGTTTTTGCACCTAGATTTATTTACTCTCTGAACATCCTGTTCTCTAAGATTGTAATAAACCTAGGGCTCGACATTTAGGTACAATTTCATTGGTAGCAGCCACAAACAAAAAATCAGGACTTTTATAAAAACCCACCCACAAAATCTTATGGTTGATTCCAATAGAAAATCATTTGTAGTTGACTGTGGTGGCGTTTACGGTATTAAAAAAAAGTTATAGCTTCGAAATAGCTTCAGATTTATCTTCAGGACAAAATTAGCGTGAAAAGCAAAAAAATATATAGAGACCTGAAGCTAAGCCCTCTAAATTAACAATCAGAAGTGTGACGAAGACATTAATATTTTTCACCTGTGGATTCTCGTAAAATAAAGGTCAAATATTTTATGTGAAATAAAAATTACCGAGTTGCAGTGTTTCATCACTAACCAGTAGGTACTTAAGTGATTTTTGCTGTGCAGGCGTATAAACCGCATCCTATATGGTTCTTTGATGATTTTTCTTGAAAATAATTAAAAGAAAATAATGCTGGAAAATGACACAATCCACACAATCATTCCGGTGATTTCCGCCATAAAAGTATAAACGTCGTATATGACTAAATTATCAAGTAAGTACCCAAGAATAAAATGCGGTAAATAACGCCATCGCTGTTTGGTAAATTAAATCGATGCGTAGTGTTTTTGGTATTTTCGTAATAAACAATAATAAATACTTGACGTGTCACCAGGAACTGCCGTTCCCACATCGGGATGACCTTTACAAGTAAATATGATCGTATCAAAGGGCGTCTTACGTTTCATAATTTATATAATTTCGTAAACATGTTTAAATGTGTGTTTATCCCACAGATTTTATTTAAAAAGTAACTGAAGCCCTGACACGTAAACAGACCTAGAAATTTAGGTGTGTCCAAAGATGGTCCATAGGTGGGCTACAGAGGGTCTACTAAATTGAAATATGCAAATTTTTTAGTATATTATTTTTCATCAATTCATGCTTGGGTGGAAGCCTAAAAAGCATATTTACTGTAAGTAGAACATTTGCACACCAAAATTTTTATGATTTTATTAGATCATGTTATTGTTTTTACGTGCTAGACTGAAAAACAAATGAAATGTCAATATGTCGTGAAGGCAGGAAGATGTTAACAATAGTTCTCGTGTAATTTCAATATAAAACTCAAAAATGTCATTCAACAAACGTGTCAAAGTAATCTATGCAGATTCCTTGTCGAAGCACACCGCAAAGACGAAGATTCTAATTAGGCAGAGATAAAGATACTCATGGGATCAAGGAGCCCCATGTTTTTAGAAAATATTTGACTTGAACCAAACATTTTTAAAAATTAGCCACCAGGTATATTATTTTCTATAAACTTTCAAAATGTGTTAAAAAATCAAGATATCCAGACGCAGTTTTCAAATGGTCATGATAAACAAACTCTTTTCGGGAACTAGGAGAAACCCTTCCTAGTCGAGTATCGTCTGCAAATAATACACAATGACCGTCAGGAGCACCGGGAAAGTCATTAAAATAAACAAGAAAAAGTAGAGGCCCCAAAACAGACCCCTGCGGCACACCAATATTTATAGGAACAATATTAGAATTTTTACCTTCGCAACAAACAATTGCGTCATATTATAAGATGATTTTGAGAGGAGCGCCCCGAAAAACCCCCTGATACGATTTTCGGCTCGTTTACGCAAATTTTACAGGAAAAGTCCCGGAGATGACGTCCATATCCAGGTTCCGGTGCACCTGATGGTGTCCGGGAGGTGCTCGCCGACGCCATATTAGGAATCGGCGACCCGAAAACCCCCCGGGTGTAAAGTCTCGTTGCATTTAAGAGTGAAATTCAGGAGAAGCCTCGGAGATGACGTTCATCATCAATCCTAAGCTCCAGGTCCAGATGGACCAATGTGAAGGTCATATTCGGGATCAGCGACCTCGAAAACCCTCAGGACCCTCATTTGAGTCCATTCCAGGCATTATTAACCGAGTTATGAATTTTTTCGAAGGGACTAAAAAACGCGTTTTTCCGGATGCAGTGCAAAATTTGTCCGAAAAACATAATACAGACTTGCTACATTTTTTTCACATTTCGGAGGTTCAGTGCTTTATTTCCTCGACTGTCGCCCTCCAAAAGAGTTGAATTTGGCTCACCCTGTACAACCCGAGCTACTTCTAACGTAAACATACTAACCTTGGCAACATGAGTCCGCCGCCCGGCGAAACGCACGTCTCTGGCGCCGAATCCTCCTCCGTCTCGTAGTCGCCGCTGTCCATGTTTCCACCACCTGCAACACACGAAAATTGCGGTTTAGTGTCGGTTCGAGGGCTCGTAAGAGACACCTGTTCCCATCCGGGGGAGTGCCCCAATCCTCTAAATGTTGGAGAGGTCGAGACACCACGTCGGCGGGCGCGCCGGAGTGTGGCCACTCCATTATAATCGTCCCGCCTGGCTGTCGAACAATGGACTCAGTGCTGTTCGGTGTTGCCGGGACCTACAAACCCACCGTCGAGACACTGACTGATCTGTACTTTCGCCTATGCCTTAATAAAGTGTGGTATATGGATTAAAACGATAATATACTATGGGTCAAACACGGGCAAAGTTTTCAGTTCAGTTCAGTTTGGTTTGATTAACAATAAGATATGCAACAAACATATTTCGTCATTTTTTTCAGTGTGCATAAAAAAGACACCATATATTATACCTATCAATGTACTATAAAGGATAAAGGTTCATACCTACATAAAATCACAATCATTTAATAAAAATCGCCACTACCTAAAATTCTGCTTCCGTCTTTCTGCCTCTGTCTATGTAGTACGACTAGTACGTTATCATCTATTATAGTCCAGACACTAAAGCATTTTGGCTACCAATTTTTTCGGATGGAATGAATTGACGTGAATGAACTCTAGCTAGGGAATAGCCCAAGAAACAAAAGTTATATAGTGTCGATGTGTGCTTTTACCATAGGGGGTGGATGCCATCCCTTCTGGAGGATGGAATTTTTTTTATTAAAAACGATTCGATAGGGGGACGAATTCTAAGCAAAAAATGTTCTATAAGAATTTTTTGTACAGTCAATACTTTTTGAGTTATTTGCGCCTAAACATATTCGTTTTTAGCCCAAAAATGCATGTTTTGGAACCATTTTTCGCGAGTATCTCAAAAAACTACAAGTTTTATCAAAAAAAATTATCACAAGCAAAAATGCAGGTAATTAAATAGCAAAGAGGTTGCTTTTTTAATTTTTGTAGGTGGTATAGAACCCGAGTTATGACTCCCAGAAGTTAAAGTCAATTTCGAAGATAGCTATAATCGAAACATTCAACGTCCCGTAGCGGAAAAATTAAAGGTTTTTCGAGGAAAACTTATATAACACTTATTAAAGTTCTTGAAAAGACCATTAAATTGAGTGGTAAAAGTCGTTAGCATGAAAATTAATGAAGTTACAATCAAAATAAAATGATTGTCTTGATTTTTGAGAAAAAAAAAATCAGTATTAAAATTAATGACTTGACGGAAAAAAATTAAACGTATTCCTTCTGCAATTTACTTTATTTATGTATTAACAGTAGATTCTGGGAATTTGAACGATTTTAGAAGCCTAAATTTAAAAAAATAATTCATTTACTTTTGAATAAAATTTTTCAATTGTTTAAAAAATCGCCTTTTTTCAAAATATTTCAAAAACTAACAAAGTTATAAAAAAAAAGAAAAAGAAATGAAATACATTGTGAATGCACCAAAAGAATATTTTAAACCGTTAAAAACTTTTTTTTCTATTTTTTTGGCCATGGAAGGGCAGTTTTTAAGGATTTTTAAGGGTTGAAAAGTAATTAAAATTCATAAATTATATTAAAAAAGATGAAAGAAACTTTATCCAACATACAGGGTGTTTCTAAAATAGGGTTCCAAACTTCTGCTGCGTTTATAACTCATTAAAATAAGCCAAAAAGTTCCTATTAACATGTGCCCTAAAACGCACCCTTAGGAAGTTATATGCCCTTAAAAGGGCTCAAGCAAAACTGTTTTTTTTTCTGTTATTGACAAAACGGTCGCAAATAAATAGAAAAAAAAAATATGGTTCTTACATAACTTTTTACGTTAAATAACATGGGCTACTCCGTTCTTTGACATGCAAATCATATGCGTCCCATTTAGGTTGGTGAAGGGGGTTTTCGGCCCGTAATTTTTTTTATTTCAATTTTTTTACAATTTTCTCTACAGATTTATAAATTCTTAACAATTTTACGTAAAAAATATTATCTTTGTCCAAATCGATATTTCCAATGGTTTTCGAGTAAATTGAGTTTGAAAATTTTAATTCCATTATTTCACATTTAGCTATTCTGCAGTAGTAATTAGTTCTTTAATTAGTAAGTGTAACTCTAAATTTAAATAGTCTTAGTTTATGTCCTAAATTATTTATTATTAAATGATCGGATCCTTCATAACTGCAATTTATTTGAAAAAAAAAACAGTTTTGTTTGAGCCTTTTTAAGGGCATATAAATGGGTGCGTTTTAGAGCACATGTTAATAGGAACTTTTTGGCTTATTTTAATGAGTTATAAACGCAGCAGAAGTTTGGAACCCTATTTTAGAAATACCCTGTATTTGAACATGAATTGAATCTTTAAAATACGCAAATCTGCGATTTTCGCATTTTTTTCGTACAAGGGTAGTTTTCATCCCCACATAGAAAAAAGCACACATCTAGACAATATAACTTTTGAAGTGGGGGGTCAGATGAGCTTGTATGCACATTTTCAGGAAAATCCATGCTATCCGAAAAAATTGGGAGCTTTTACCTTATTTTCGATTTCAGTGACTGGACTATTATGAGGAATTTCAAGTAAACACGAAGAACAAAACAAGTGATTTTGCTATTACTAGACTTTGTTTTATAAATTCCTTACATTTTATATGGAATATCACCACAGGAAACGACCCTATTCTACTGGCATTCATCGTTGACAAAAAAAGCTAGTAAATAAACCAAAATATTGTGCAAACTGCCAAATCATTGTTATCACAAAACCGAGAGGATTCCAAAAAACGACAAATATACAAGGTGTTGCATTTAAACAAATAAAATTTTAGTTCATAAATCCGAAAACATGAAAAAAACTCAAACAGTGGCCTAATTCGTTCTTAAAACCAATGCAAATATCTCATTGTACCACAACAAGGTTACATTGTACCAGAACAAGGTTAGATCACATTTGCCCTCTAAAATGACATCATCACGTTTAATGTGACATCAACTATTAACACTCCGTTGTTTTTTCCCTAAACCTCAGTACAAAAAAGCCGATTAAATATTTTATATTCTTCGTCACTGACAAGAATATACCCTACCACGAAATATACATTTGCGGGTAAACATTGCGTGACTACATAAATATTTCGCGTTTGGATTCCTATGTTTGGCAACACTGGGGACGCTGCAGTATAATACGGTCGTGATTCCGTGACTGTGGTTCTAATTATACTCTGTTCATGCCTTGTACATAGGAAGTGGATGAGGGCCAAACACTGTGGAGTAGTTATGGACGTATCAGTTTATTTTGATTAGAAGCCGACTCTTGAGAAAAAGCGTTATTTTATTGCAGATTTAACCTGTTATCTCCCTTACTATTAGAAATGTGTACCCATGTCTAGAACCATAAACATGTGTTACATCCACATACGTGTAAACCAAATTCATTTGAGCCCTAAAGGTGGGATGCGAAATGGAGTCAAATCGTAAAAAAATTATTGTAAAATCCTTACAATTTCCGAGAAAAAAATTTATTGAAGTTTACTTCCAACCACTACATACAACTGTAGTTTCTAGCGTCATTCGTAATACGCGTGGAGAATCACGTGGCCTCAGTGATTCCGAATACTGAAATCCGATTTTACAATCGTCATTGCGATAGTGTTTACAATAGTTTTTTTTTAGTAGTTAGTGTCAAAAATGGCTTGCGTGTATAGCAACTCGGAGTTGATGGATATCGTTTTAATTTATGGTGAAGCAAGACAGCATTTGTATTATGGTGAAGCATTTGTGTTATGGTGAAATAGAACAACATTTGTGTTAGTTCGTAGAAACTGAGTAAGACGGGTCCAAATTTGTTTTACACGTCGGTGGACAAAATTTTGAGTTTTGTTGTAACATTAGGTATGTCAAATTATTTTATTATTTAAAACCACAATGATTTTTATTAATTAATAATAACAACAGCGGCCAAAGCAGTTGAATTTGCTGATATAAAATAGGTACTATAAAATTCTATTTACTTCTTTCCTTTTCCTCACCTTTTATGCCTTTGACTTCAAACTACGATAAAGTGAACTGAACGTCTTTTCACTTTTTTGTACTATGGACTATGGAACTCACTAATACTCGAAATTGTAATATCGCGAACAGACACAAATATAGAAATATGCCGAGTTAAAAAAGCAACGGCCTCACAACTTTCATGAACAATAAATACCTCGCTGGTTATCATAACATGTCCGTTTGTTTATTTTTTTTTTAAAGCTGACATGACGGTCTTTTTAGCGGATGTCACAATTTACATACTTTTAAATAAAAAAAGGCTTAAGGTAGGTAAGTATTATTATTTCCGTAGCCTTATTACAAGCTTGCAAGTTCTATTTCATGAAATTTTATGTAGCAATGTTGACTTTTCCATTCCACAACATTTTCAAGCTTCTTTTTACGTAATAAATATACCCGTATGGTCCTGTGACTGTTGTTTTACCGAAACAAACGTTTACGAAAAGATTTGTCTCCATTCACGATCTGTTGTTTTCAAAACACATATAAATAATCAATTTCCGATCCTACATTTGCCCACCTGAAGCGCATACGTAATTTCTTATTCCCAAACAAAGCGATAAGGATTTTATGACAATGAGAACAAATACTTCAATCAATCATTCCCTTGCAAGCGATAATTAATTTTATTGTTTACTTTTCATTAATTATATGAAACTGGTCAGTGCATTTGAGTTAAAAATAATATCTTACGCAGTTAGCGACAACAATATTTTTTTGAGCAGCGATTAATTAAAACAACAAGACCTTTATTCTGTTTTATTTAAAATGGTAATGTATCGAAATCGGCAGCCATGCATGAAAGTGTGTCGGTGATCTTAATTAGGAGCGCAACTTTGTGATTAAACGTATGACAATTAAGAAGGATTAACCCTCCGAGAGAGCAGTCGGTGACTTCTTTAATGGTTGGTAAATATCCTGCTTGCAAAAATGTAACCTCCAGATAAATCAGCGG